GGTAAGGTGGAGGGTCAGAGAAAAAGAGGAAGACCTCCAATGAGATGGATTGGCCAAGTGGCAGCATCGATGGACTCAAGCGTGGCAACAATTGTGAGGTTGGCCTAGGACCAGACAGTGTTATGTTCTGTTGTGCTTAGGATTACTATGAGTCAGAACTGACTCCATGGCACCAAACAACAACATTGTCAAGTGCCGTCGAGTCAATTCCAATCCATAGCAACGTTGTATAGGGTTTCCGAGGAGCAACTGATAAGCTTGAACCACCAATCTTACATATCAAACTGACTTTGCATTCCAGTGCATTAACCCACAGCGCCACACCTGAACTCCAAACTCATTTTGTTGTTGTTAAGTGCCGTTGTGTCAATTCTGACTAACTGCAACACTATATAGTGTTTCCAAGGAGCAGTTGGTGAGCTTGAATCACTGAGCTTGAGGTTCAATCCGACTATGTAGTTCAGTGCATTAACCCACAGCACCACACCAAAACTCACTTTGTTGTTGTTGTTAGGTGCCGTCAAGTTGGTACCGACCCTATGCACAACAGAACGAAACACTGCCTGATGCGGGTGCCAACCTCACAATTGTTGCCACGCTTGAGCCCATTGATGCTGCCACCTGGCCAATCCATTTCGTTGGGGGTCTTCCTCTTTTTCTCAGACCCTCCACTTTACCAAACATGATATCCTTCTCCAGCGACTGGTTCCTCCTGACAATATGTCTGAAGTATGAGAGATGAAGTTCGACCATCCTGGCCTCCATGGAACACTCTGGCTGCACTTCTTCCAACACAGATCTGTTGATTCTTTTGGCCAGCCCGTGGCACTTTCAATAATCTCCTCCAACACCGTAACTCAAAAGCATCACTTTTTCTATGATCTTCCTTATTCACTTGTCCAGCTTTTGCATGCATATGAGGTTGTTCTGTTGTTGTTGTTAAGTACCGTGGAGTCGGTTCTGACTTACAGCGACCCTGCACAGGGTTTCCGAGGCTGTAAATCTTTACGGGAATAGAAAGCCTCATCTTTCTCCCGCGGAACAGCTGGTAGTTTCGAACTGCCAACCGTGAGGTTAGCAGCCCGATTCATAACCACTACACTACCAGAGCTTCTTCTAGGCCTATTTATTTTCTTGATTTTCTTCCATTAGTGTTTAAAACATCACCATCTATTTAATGTGGAATAATTACAAGGTTTATGGTACTGCGGAAATTCGCTCCCCTCGTGGCCCTAATGGAACCCTGGTGTGGCCCTGTGGGTTAATGCGCTGTACTGCAAGGTAGGTTTGTACAGCAAGGTCGGCGGTTCAAGCTCACCAGCCACTCCTCGGAAACCTTCCACAAGGTCACTATGAGTCGGAACCGACTGGATGGCACTTAACAACAACAATGGTCCTTGCGTGCATTTAGCCACCCACCTTTCCAGAATATGGTGAGGTCATCAGCAGCCTTAACCAACCTTCCACTAGGGGGCACACGATACATAAACGCCACAGTCTTAAGTTGCCATTCACTGCTTTAGGAAAATAATCAATTCTTTCACGAATTAGACCCATCGGATTACAAACTTAATTATAATTTAACTTCTGTTATTATTGGCTTGCAAAGTGGCGAAAAGAAGCAATCTTTTCGGTTTCTGAATCTCCCTCTCATCTCTTGAAAAAATTGGCAAAGATAAAAGAATTCTGGAAAATAAGCAATAATTTAACTTGCATGATAAAAAAAAATACAGGTTTTCGATTTCTTCAAAGGAAGGAATTGGGGCGACGGAAGAGACAGGAAAGCGAGAAAAATCAGGTGAGGCTCTTCCATCAAGACTGTCTCTGCTTAATAGATCCCAAGCAGAAGCGCAAATGGTTAACGTTTTGTGCAGCGGAAACAGCACATGGTCACATAGGGGGAAGGGAAGCCACGCCAACGTTAGTTGGTAAAATCAGCTTGTCGTGTGAGCGTGAATTCAGTCGTCTAGAGGTCAAAAGGACTCCTTGGGGCTGTCGCTTACTCAACTGTCCAGGTAAGAACATACGCGCGCGCGCGCGCGCGCGCACACACACACACACACACACACACACACACATGAGACTAATGATGAAAAAGGTTACTGAGGGGTTTATGATGGGTGTATGTGTATATCTACATTCAGGATTTAACTGCACCTATAACGTGTGCATAAACAAACACTCTAAGGTATTACGTTGGCGATTTGTTCCGTGTTCCATTTGTGAAATTCTGTGTGGGTCACATTTACATCACGCGCAAACACTGCGCAAAAGCGCACGCAGCGTGCCCATTTGTCCTGGGGGCCCTTGACTGCACCTAGGGCAGCGCGAACCCATCTGTCGAGCGCAACCGTGGCGGCTGAACGCACCGAGTCGACGACAGGATGTGGAGCCGGTTGCAAACGGCATCTTCTTTTCTTCTCTTTTCAGTGATGTCATTGGGCGACAGCAGCTGAGATCTGGGAGGAGGAGGAGGAGAGGAGGAGGCGCCCCGGCCTCTGCTGCTGCCGCCGCCGCTGCTGCAGGTTCATGTGCATATAATGAAAAGGCACTTGACAGTCTGCCAAAACGCTAGCGAGGGAGAGAGAGCGAAACTGGACCTACTGGATTTCGCAAAGCCAATCGTCATCATCTGCATCTACATGGGGAAGGAGGCGGAGGAGGAGGAGGAGGTGGGATCAGCGGCTCCAGACTCGGCTTCTCCAATGTGAAACCACGAGCGAAAAAGGGGGATCAGAAAAAGCAACGGAAAGCGAGCGAAGGAGGAGGGAGAGGCTTCTTGGTGTGCTATATCCCCCTCTTCATTCCCCCTGCGGATTTCTCCTCCTACTCCTCGGGCAGCTATGAATTCCGCCGAACAGACCGTTACGTGGCTCATTACCTTAGGGGTGCTAGAGTCACCCAAAAAAACCATTTCGGATCCGGAGGGATTTTTGCAGTCGTCTCTGAAAGATGGGGTGGTCCTCTGCAGGCTGCTGGACCGCTTGCTCCCCGGGACCATAGAGAAAGTAAGTGCTATTTTAGCTTGCGCGCCGCCTCCCTCCCCCGCCCCTCGCTCGGCCGCTGGCGCGGACCCCCAGTCACCAAGTGCACCCCACCCGGAGGCTTGGCCGCTGCTTGTTGCTGTGGGCCTGCCAGCCGGCTGCCTGCGGGATCGGTGCACAAAGCTCCAGACTGGTGGTCCCTGGCTGCTGTGGCCCAAGATGGGCAGAGGAGTGCCCGGACAGGGGGACCGCCTTGGCACCTGGGTGACCCGCGCGGCCGTGCCCGTAGCCTTCCTCTGCTGGGTAGAAAATGTAATGCTTGGGGAGGAAACCTACGCACTTTTCTTTGTGGCGGACCCCCTGAAATCCCGGTTCGCGCCGGGAAGAGCGTGCGCTTTTCCCCGGTGCACGGAGCTCGCAGCCAGACAGCAAGAACCCGTGTAGCGGGAGCTAGAAGGGCGCCATTGTGTGCAGAGTGGGGAGGGGGCCCCTGTGGGCCGGGAACGGGGCGAGGGGGGCGGGGGTCGGGGGAGTAGGGGCCGCTTTAAAGGAGAAGAATCCGGGAGAGAGGTGCCGCCTCTACGTCTTCTCTGGATCTGGTTCTGTCTGGGAAAAAGTGTTCTGTGCATAATCGGAAATAGGATTTCTGTACCAACCTAACATTAACTTGATCTTCGGGTGTAGTGAGGTCTGCCTAAGCCCCCTCTCAGTAACCTGGTCACAAAACCGTGGTCCACTACCATGCAGTTTCCTCTGATGGCTTTGTTTGAACAGTACTCTTTTGTTGTTGTTGGTAGTGGTATTACACTAAAGAGTTTCATCCGTTTTTCTGTGTAATTGACCAATTGCTAGGCATTTTTTAAAAAGACGCATCCCTTCCTCAATAGCTGAAGGCTAGTTTGTGAAATGATTTACTATTTTCCCAATGAAAAAAAATTGCTCATGTATACATTATAAGATAAGAGGATCGCAAACACTTGGTTAAAAGCCCTAGCATTCTTCAAAACTAATGTAAAATTCTAGTATTCATTTTCATATTCGTACTGGCTTCTGGAACAGAATCCATAGTCTTAGAAACCCAGTTTCTTGTTACTCTTGACTAGTGGTTTCCGTATGGCTCGCGTGTGAACTTTGACCTGCATTTCTGTGAGTGATTAAAGTCTGTTTTCTTCTCACACTAGCTGACAAAGCATGGGTGAGGGGATAGGAGAGTTTTTAAAAAAACGGTAGATCCCTACGTGTTAATACATAACAATTTTATCCCAAATGTTTGCCAAGATACAATGTTATGAGCAATAATAATTTAGAAGGTATAATGGAATTGAAGTGAACCATAATTAGGAAAAATAATTGAGTTTTTTTAAGGGGGCTCATTGGTTGTTGGATCAGTACTAGACTGTAAACCACAAAGTCATCAGTTCAAACCCACCAGCTACTCCTTAGAAGCTCTTTGAGACAGAATCGACTCGATGGTACTTAACAACAACATTGGTCCTTAACATATGTACCGTCCAGTCGATTTTGACTCAATGACCCTGTATAGTGGCAGTCTGTTTGCTAATAATGAAATAAGGCTGCTGGAAAAAGTACAATTTTTAATATTATTTGTAAGTTTGAACGCGTTATGACACACTACATTTTAAATGTCAAAAAATCTTTAGTATGAATTTTGCATACATACTAGTTGTAGGCATTTTTCTTGTTTGGACCATATTTATAAAAACAATACATATTTAAGAATTAATATCTGCTTGACTGCATGAAAGAAAACTGCTGCTTGCATCATAATAATATTATTTAAGATGAGTATAAGGGTAGGTTCTAACTTTGGAGGCATTCGAAATGCTTACGTATCTGGGTATCACTACTTCTGGTAATAAAAGACAGATGTTGAAAACGACCAAAAATGCATGCTTAGTTTACCAAAGTAGACATAAATAAAAGATTCCATTTCTAAGAACAAAGCTGTAAGAAACTTACAATGTTGCATTGATAAGAACATGTTAATATCCATCCATATGCTATTTGGCATATTATCCACATTTATATCAACTGGTGGACTCCAATAATTCTTTTAAATTTTGAAAAGGTTTTCTTAGAAAACAGTAGGTGTACTTTCTTCTTTAAAACAACGAGAACTACGAATAAAATCTTTACTTTACAGAAGCCACGTTGAAGCAACCCAGTGTGACCTAAAACTACAGTTATTTGGTAATTTCTAATACTGATGCTTTGTCTTTTTACCTGAGCCCCGAATTGTTTGTTTGAAACGGATTTTATGCGAATAAAAGCTTAACATCAAAGTAGGGAATTTTAAACAGAGCTACCAATTATTTTGTGGTTCAAAGGTTGATTTTCAGGATAAAATATTAGCTATTCTCTGCCTCCTAAAAAGCTTCAGGAGCCTTTTGTATCTCCTATGAGGAGTTATTTCCTTCAGCTTTCAGATGTTTTTGCATGCATACCAAGTAATATATACCACCAAACACGCATGTTGAACAACTTCATTTGAATGTAGGAATGTGAGCATGAGGACATTTTTCCTTAAAAAGAAACATTTGGAAACTTAACTGAATATTCATGTGGAACTGGAAGGATCTTAACTGGACCCCTTTTGACACCTGAGCACATTGACAACTAGTTAGTGAAGTATAAGCAGCTTGTGGCTTAACACTGGGAAATTCACAACTTAAAATGAACCACAAGACTGGGGATAAAGACAAAGAAAAGTTGTTGAGGCCCTTTCGGTTTCTCATATGTCTTTTATTAAGAAAAACATTTCCTAATATGATTCATTGATCTTGATCATTTTTTCTATTGTAGACCTAAGAAAAGGGTAGAGGAAACTGAGAAGGATGCCCCATATCCCTTCAGTTTCAAATTGCTTTACTCATTTGAAATTGTTGTTGTCTTTTTCACTCAGGCTCCCCTTGGTAGGGTTTGCTGTTTTTGTTTAAGGCGGAAAGTCAAACAGTAAAAAGCGGGAACTATAAAAGTTTGTGAGCAGTTAAAGAAAAGAGACTTTTCATTATTACCTAGAGTATGTTTTTGGATTGTTGCTGCAGGGGAGGAAAAGATGAGGGTTTATTATTATTTTTTCCCAGTAAAGGCCTGGAAATTCTGCTGATCAACCCACAGTATTTTTGCCCCACTCATCCCTCCTGTGATGAGAAAGACAACAATGGTCATAAAATCTAGAAGGCAATCATCTTTGGTCCTATTAGCTCCATTCTCGTAAATTAACACTTTTAAAGGTCTCTTGACTGTTAATCAAAAGGGGTGAAATCAAGATATAGACCTTTTAGAGTGCTTATTGAAATCATGGAAATAGCGAAATGCTATTTTAATTTTACTTGCATTAATCTTTATGTGCAGCGGATGAAGTCACTTAATTCATTACAAAACTCAAGCCTTTGAAGATATTGGTTTCTTTCACACACAAAATTTCCCTCATGAAAGCCATGCAGTGATCTCCCATAGGCAAACTGCATAGCAGCTCTCGGTCAACACAAGTGGAATGTCGTAAAGGTCAGATGCGACCATTCTGGCCTTGCTAGATGTCCTGTGTGTGTGCCTTTATATTTAAACTGTTTAAAATTGTTGGGTTGGATAATAAATATGAACCCAGTCTGTTTATAAAATACCTACCTACTTGTGAGGTGGTATGAGACATAAAAAGAGCTCTGGTAGCGTAGTGGTTACGAATCGGGCTGCTAACCTCAGGGTCAGCTGTTCGAAACTACCAGTGGTTCTGTGGGAGAAAGATGAGGCTTTTTGCTCCCATAAAGATTTACAGCCTCGGAAACCCTGTACAGGGGTTGCTGTGAGTCAGAACTAACTCCACAGCATATAACAACAACAATGAGACATAAAGGAATCATGGTGGAGCACTGTAGGTTAGTGCGCTCGACTGCAAAGTCGGTTTGAATTGCAAGGTTGGTGGTTCAAGCTTACCAGTCGCTCCTTGGAAACCCTTTGCAGGGTTGCTATGGGTCGGAACCTACTTGACAGCGCTTTACAACAACAACAATGTGAGAGATACAAAGACTATGTAGCTGTTTCTTAGACAGTCAGTGCAGAAGAAAAGATTAACATAAAAATAAGAATAATAGGAGGCAGAATGAAATAAAAAGGCACAATGTAAAATATAGATGAAAAGTAACTGAAGAATTAAAGGAGACTTGCATTGGAGCTTCATCAGACTCATGATTTTTCTTAACCCATAAACCTTTACTAATCCTACACATGAATTGGAATGCGGTTTGTATTTCCCCAAACTATAATCTGACAGCCCTAAGTAATCTTTTGCAAATCTGCAGAAAATAAGCAAATTTGGCTATAGCATAGGGAAAAGAAAATGCTTTAAGTGTGACTTCCTGTCTTTGGATCCTGGGTTAGTTAGGGAGTGGGTGGGAAGAGAAATGAAATTTCAGTGGTCCTTGGGTAAAAGTTATAAGTGTTGCTGCTAGAAGTTTGTCTTTTTAAAGGTCCTTGCTCTGGTGGCACAGTGGTTAAGCGCTCAGCTGCTAACCCAAAGGTCGACAGTTCAAACCCTCGAGCTGCTCGACGGGAGAAAAATGTGTCAGTCTGCTTCCTTGAAGATGTATTGTTGTTAAGTGCTGTCGAGTCGATTCCAGCCCATAGTGACCCTGAATAGGGTTTCCAAGGAGCAGCTGGTGAGTTTGAACTGCCGATCTTGCAGTTCAAATGACTCTGCAATCCCATCAAATAGTTTCTGTTTTGTAGTAACTCTGTATAGGGTTTCTGAGGAGCAGCTGGTGGGCTTGAACTGTGGACCTTGTGATTAGCAGTCCTGTGCTTAGCCTGCAGTGCCACAAAAGGATTACAGTCTTGGAAACCCTATGGGACAGTCTTGCTGTGGCGCTGTGGGTTAATGCACCAGACTGCAAAGCTGTTTGAACTGCAAGGTTGGCGGTTCAAGCTCACTAGTTGCTCCTCAGAAACCCTATACAGGGTCACTGTGGGTCAGAACAGACTCAACGGCACTTAACAGCGACAACAAT